CTATATAGCATTGATTAGATCTCGGACGGCATGAAAACATGGACACGTCGACAAATGCGGAACGATCAATGTATCAACAGACCCAAACAGTAAACGAAGCAAAATGCTGAGCAAGCGACGTCGCAACTGTCAAAAGCTATCACCCCATCAACTCATAACAACTTTTGAGAGCTCCGATGTCGACAACTAAACGTCAACCCTCTTACTTTACAGTTGAAATGTACTTTACAAAGAACAATGCAGTTGGCGGAGAAAAACTTGGTCGCCAAACGGATACTGTAGGATGTCTTGCAGTTTATAGCTTGCAGCGTTGACGGTAAAGGATACCAAAGCTCATTTTCTGCTGTCGAATATGAAATTGGTAGCGAAACTAAGGAAACGAAAATAACACCATCTGAAGAGCGATGAAATCGCGAAGAGCATATAACTGCACTCATTCTTCCTAACGTTCAGAAATCAAACGTCATGATGAATGATTGTGTCTGCCGATGCCATAAAGGCCTTTTAGAAACTCTCAAATTTCCTTGAAGTTGTCTTTACTACACTCACCTATGGAATTTCCAATACAACTTCTGTCGACTTCTGCATTTGAGTTTATTTGGCGGACTTCTGCGTGCTCTGCTAGAGGACTAACGCTTCATTCACAATCTCTCCAATTGTTCATATTTTCACAACCCCTTGCCATCTGTGATTCATTATGCGTGCAAGCCACAAGCAACTCTCTTCTGACGACGTCAATTAATCCCAGAAACGGAGCAGCAGCAACCCAAGCTCAAACGCCTAATTAAAGGCAGAGTCTGCAAATACAGACGAGATCAGAAGACGAGCATTTGGTATAAGTAACTTTTCATCAAAGGAGCCTAACAAGCAAATAAAGGATCAATGTTGAATTTGATTCAGATAACAGCTTAAAAAGATAAAAGATCCCAAATTCCGGTATTCTTGGTAAGTCAGATTAAATAAAGCGTGTGAAATAAAGCATCAACCAACAAGATAAGCAAATTTGCAGATGAA